ATAATCTGGGGGGTCGCGAGTTCGAGTCGCACTCTGGGCATGCGCCGTTACCCTCAAGGTTGTGGCATTTGTCAGCCAGCGACTAGGCACCTCAGGCCTACAAGCATCGCTTATGTGGTCGCGCGCACTCCCGCCATACTGAATGGTGCTGCTGACAGGGAGTGTATGGAGTGGTGGATGGGCGAAGATAAAACACCCACGGTGGGACTCGAACCCACAACCTTCTACTTAGGAGGCAGACGCCTTATCCATTAGGCCACGCAGGCTCACTTCAGGAGTCACCTTGTTGACAACTCCCTTCCACCGTCGCTCCAGCCAGTCCCATTACCTCGAATACACACCCACTGTCGCATCAGCCCGACTTCACCTCTGCTCTCCCAACTTCCCATTCTGTCACTCCCTCACACTTCCACTCAATCAGCCAAATATCGTCTCACTACCTTCTCACTACCGGAATTTTATCAGTGCCCTTCGAGGAGATACCAGGTTTGCGTGGATGCATCGACGTAGCCATAGTCTCCCCGCATGTATTGTTTGCAATTGCTAACAAGGGTTGGTATACTTCAAACCCGTTGAGCACGACAGCTGAACCCGTCGCTGTGGCGTCTCTCAGTCTCATGCGGCCGTATTGCTATGTGAAGGCATCCCTTTGCAGCATTTGCTAATGTAATAATGCTGGCGTCTTTCGACCAGAGCCGGGTTTCATGAATCGGCGGGCCCCAGTAGCGGATGAGAACCTTTTTGTTTGCAGTATTTTCTACACAAAAAGGCACAAATAAACCAACGTCTTCCAGGCGGCGCCAATCGCAGCTCATGCACATGGATAGACTCCTGGCATGAGGACCATGACACCACAACATCACGACAACAAGAATTACAGTATAGCTTTGGGGCGTCATGGAGATGTCGACAACACCATCTTCCCAACCACTCTGCACCACCGCGTCGGAGGAGGCTGCAGGTCAGGCGCCCTGGGAGGGACTCAAACCCACACTCTTCGGCTCCAGGAAGCGACGGCTTACCCATTATGCCACCAGAGCGCCCCACCTGCCAAACTGGGCCAGGATACACCCCTCCATGGTCACTCACTGACTCACCGATAATGACTACAAGTCTATGGATCAGCGGGTGCAGGCACCAAATAAGCACCCGTGGTAGCACTTACTGCACAATCTTCTACTCTGAAGGCAGGCGTCCTATCCATCAGGTGACGCAGGTCTAATGGTCTTATGGCTGCTCACGGCCAACCAGCTGTTCCTGACGCTCTGTCCAGTATCATTGCCTCAACAACACACGATCTCATTCACTAAAACGCATTGTTGCTAGCCCCTGAGATCACCACTGAGCAAGAGGTGGCATGGATTGGTAAGACTGTTGTGTTTTTAAATCACGACCATATGCAGTAAGACGGTAGCTAAGGTGAGGTGAGATGAGGTGGTGCCACAGTGCAAGGCGATGGGGAAGGGTGTCAAGGGAGTCAAAAGAATGTGTATATAGAAGGAGGAGTAGGAGGAGGAGGAAGAAGAAGAGGTAAAGAGATGCGCGGTCACGGGGCTCAGTGGTCTAGGTGTATGATTTTCGCTTTGGGTGCGAGAGGTCCAGGGTATAAATCCCGGCTGAGCCCGAGGCCTGGATGATAGCCAGCAGGTTTCCCAGACGGTGCGTTTTAGCCTTGACCTCCAACCCATCAGCCCCCAGGAGATAGTCGTACTCCGATGCAGTTCTCCACTGCCTGAAAAGTCAACAATTCCCTCCACCTCACTGACCCATCCATCCGATTCGCTAGAATTGCTGCTTTGCGTGGCATCTATGTGCGATAGTGAATGTGACTAGACGAAAGAGAACGACAGCGGCGGGATTCTAAACCGCACCCTTTCAGACTGGTGCCTAAAACCACCTCCTTAGACCACTCGACTACGCTGCCTCATCTATGCTCATCCTCTACCCGCTTCCTCCCACTCACCTCTATCGTGACATGCAGATCAATGCAAGCAGGTGAACCTACTCAATCACCACCCAATTCACACCCACACCTTCCTTAAAATTATCCCCCAACCACCTCCACTTCACTCTAATAAACTACTCGCCCCGGTTTGAGTACGCCTGCGGATGATTAACATGCACGACACCCGCTTACGTCAATGCATCATACCCTCCTTATCCTATCCTGTTCTGTCGTGTGGTATCATGACCTTTCATATGGCAATGCTATCCTGTTCTGTCGCACCTCACTGCATCGTA